TTAAGCACCGCACAAGTGACAAGTGAGTGAGTGCAGGTACAGGTACAATCAAGTCAGCGCGTGTGAGAATCCGCGCGTAGCGTCTTGTAACATCTGTACAGGTGAGTAAGACTTGAAGTACAATAGCTATAGGTAAGAGCGGATAGGATGTGGAGAGCTCCCGCTCTGGCCGCGTATACAGCACACCGTGCCTACGCCCTCATCCCTATCTATGCTATCCATAATATACCTGCTGCGCGTGCGGCGCACTGTATAAACATATATATAGAGATATAAGATAGATAGATAACAGATACTCTCTTCTCTCCTCTGCCTCTCCTCTCTTCTCTCTCTCTCTCTCTCTCTCTCTCTCTGCTCCTCTCTCCTCTCTCTCTCCCTCATCTCTCTCTCTCTCTCTCTCTCTCTCTTCTCTCTCTCTCTCTCTCTCCTCTCTCTTCTCAGTCTACTATCTCTCTCGCTCTCTCTCGCCTCTCTCTTCTCTCTCTCTCGCTCTCTCTTCTCTCTCTCCTCTCTCTCTCTCTCTCTCTCTCTCTCTCTCTCTCGTCTCTCTGCTCTCTCTCTCTACTCTCTCTCTCTCCTCTTCATCTACTCTCTCTCTCTACTCGTCTCTCTCTCTCTCTCTCTCGCTCTCGCTCTCGCTCTCTCTCTCTCTCTCTCTCTGTCTCTCTCTCTGCTCTCTCTCTTCTCTCCTCTTCTCTCTCTCTCTCTCTCTCTCTCCTCTCTCTCTCTCTCTCTCTCTCTCTCTCTCTCTCGCTCTCGGCTCGCTCCTCTCGTCGCTCATCGCTCTCGCTTCTCGCTCTCTCGTTCTCTCCCTCCTCCCCCCTCTCTCTCTCCCTTTCTCGCTCACTCGCTCTCTAAATACATCCTTATTACCTGTCTGCCGCGTCGCGCGCACCTATATCATTATATATACTATAGTATATATTATCATATATATTTACTATATATAGATCAGATAGATAGATAGCATAGATAGATAAACAGATTACTCTCTCGTCCTCTTCACACCACGCGGCTTGCACACCCGTATCCTACAGCACATGGCACGCACACGCGACTCACGCCCGCACGCCCGCACGCAATTGCACAGTACACGCACGCACAACGCCGCAATCCTGTAAACACACACACGTACACAGGCCTACGAACACCGGCATTGCACGCACGCCACCAACACCCGCACGCACTCGCACGCACGAACACCCGCATGCAACCGCACCGCACGGAACACCCGCATGCCACCGCACGCACGAACACCCGAACGCTACGCACGCACGAACACCACCGCACACACGCACGGGACTACTACACCTGCAACGCCACGTAATTGTTCACTTACGCCCTTTCTCTCGCTCTCATCTCTACTTCTCTCTCCGTTCTATCTCTCTCTCCTCTCTCTCTCTCTCTTCTCTCTCTCTCTCTCTCTCTCTCTCTCTTCTCATCTCTCTCTTTCTCTCTCTCTCTCTCCTCACTCTCCGCTCGCCGCACGCGTCGGGCAGTAAGCACAAGCTCGCGCAGGCCGGCGACAGCAGCGTTAGCAGCAGCAGCAGCAGCCGATCGGGCGCGGGCGGCGACAGCAGCCAGTAGCAGCTTGTCAGCAGCAAGCAGCAGGCAGCAGCCGACGGCGCGGGCCCGGGCGCGTCGTTTATGTAATTAGACGTCATTTAGAAGCTGCCGGCCACCGTCCATTTCAGATCACGCTCAATCTTCCTCTCCTCACACACACACACGCACGCCACGCCGGGCACGCACGCACGCACGCACCCCCCGCAGCACTCACGCACGCACGCCCCCCACGCACACCACGCACGTCCGCACGCCACGCGCACACACGCTACGCTACGCACACACACACACACACCACACATTCACGCACGCACGCCACGCCGCACACACACACACGCACGCACGCACACACACACGACACGCACGCACGCACGCACGCACGGCATCGCATTTTATTTTTCGCCACTCACGCTGCATGCACGCACGCACTCTTCTGCCGTCTTCTCCCCCCCTCCTCTCTCCCTCTCTCTCTCTCTCTCTCTCTCTCTCTCTCTTCTCTCTCTTCTTTCTCTCTTCTCTCTCTCCTCGCTCTCTCTCTCTCGTTCTCTCTCTCCTTATCTCTTTCTCTCTCTCACACTCTATCTATGCTATTCTCTCCACTCGCTCTCTCTCTTCAGCCAGCCAGCCAGTTCGCAACACCAACACAACAAACAACACACAACAAGCAACACAATTACAACAACAACAACAACCCGGCAACCAACCAACAGTAGCTTCCAAACATTCAGAGATCAACGACATCATCAGCTTTTAGCTTCAGACCTGTGCGTGCGTGTCTTCGTGCACATCAGCAGCACCAGCACTCCGCGGGCGTGCGTGCTGCACAGGTAGCGTACAACTAGAACAATTTTACAAGTGATTTTTTTCAAATGCCATTCATTTATGACGGGCAGCGGCGAGTTATAAATCCGCATTGCCGCTAGCAATAAAAATATCTCTGCAGAGATTTGTGGCAGTGGGATCGATAATTCCTCCACCTCGTTCCACCTCCTCCTCCCCCGCTGCCGCCCTGCGTCACCCTCTCCCCCCGTGCCGCCCCGTTCCACCCCTCCCCCGTGCCGCCCCTCCCCTCTCCGCCCGTTCCGCCCCTCCTCGTTTCCACCCGCTCCCTTCCGGGTGTCGTGCTCGTTTCACCCCTCCCCCCGCCCCCGTTTTTTTTTCTGCCGCCCCCTCCGCTCCCTCCCCTTTCGTTTGTTTTTCTTTTTTTTTTTTTTTTTGTCTTTTTTTTCCACCTCTCCCACTCGTGCTTCGCCGCCTCCACGTGCCGCTCTCTCCTCTTTTTTGCGGTTTTTTTTCCAACCCCCCCCTTCTCCCCTCCCCGGTGCCGTGCCCCGTCATCGGCCTCTCCCTTGCTCCTCGTTCCATCCCTCCCCCGTTTCCACCCTCTCCCGTTCGCTTTCCGCCGGTTTTTTCACTCCTCCCCTCGTCTCCATCCTCTTTCCGTGCCGCCCCTTTCACCCCTCCCCCGGTTTCTTGCCTCCCCCGTCCGTTCCCTTCCGGTTCCCTCGTCCATTACTTCCCCCGTCTGTTTTCCTTGCCTCCCCCGCCCCCTGTCTCGTGCGCCCTGCCTCCCCCGTGCCGCCCCTCCCCCCAGTGCGCCCTCGGTTCCATCCTCTCCCCGTTCCACCCCTCCTCCTCGTCCACCTCTCCCACGTTGCCGCCCCTCCCACGGTGCCGCCCCTCCCCCGTGCCGCCACCGTTCCATCCCTCTCCCCGTTCCGCCCGTCCCCCGTGCCGCCCCCGTTCCACCCCTCCCCCTGTGCCGCCCCTCCCCGGCTTTCTTCCCCCACTATCCGAACGCAGCCCTTCTCTCCGCACGACCGAGTACGGTAGATGTTAAGATGTCTTCGTCGAGTAGTGCGAGTAGTGAGTGCTTTTATTTCTGTACGGCGTGTGTATTTATTTAAGGAGCTAAGTTGCTCCCCCGTCCCTCCCTCCCTCTTTTATTCTCTTCCTCAGTTCCTTCCCCCTTACTCCCTCGCTTCCTCTCTCTTTTTCCGTTCCTTCCCCCTTCCTCAATCCCCCTCCTTTCCTTGCCTCCTCCTTCCCACCCTCCTCTCTTCCGCCCTCCGTTCCTCCCACTTCTCTTCCTCTCTCCCATCCTCCCTCCTCCCCTCTCTCCTCTTTCTCCTTTATTTCACTCTCCCATCTCCTCTTCCTCCCTCCCAGAACTCGAGCTGGTNCCTCTCCTTCTCTCTCTCTCTCTCTCTCTCTCTCACTCTCTCTTGCTCACTTTCTCTTTCTTTCTTTCTCTCTTCCGCCCTCTCTCCCTTCCTCAGATCCTCTCTTGCACAGACAGACAGAAAGACAGTCTGAATAATACCGCGCAGGCCGCGTGAATGCGATTTTAGCTAAACAAGTAGCTGATGGTGATGATGATGATGATGATGATGATGATGATGATGATGAGAGCAGAATTGAACCACGCACGTGCGCCCACACGCACGCACGCACGCACGCACGCACGCACACACACACACACACACACATACATACACACCGAATGATTATGCTTATCGCTGTACTGTCTCTTCCAGATCTGCATCTAAACACGGCGCGCACTATCAACAACGTCAACAACGCGCACGCACGCACGCACACACACACACGCACGCACGCACGCACGCACGCACGCACGCACACACAATATACGTATACTCTGTGAGGTTGTTCTGCAGCGGAGTGCCCGGACCACGCACACACGCACACACGCACGCACGCACACACGCACGCACGTACGCCACGCATGCACGCACGCGCGTACGCACACACACGCGCGTACGCACACACGCACGCACGCACGCACGCACGCACGCACGCACGCGTCTGCCGTGTATTACGCACCGTTGTTTTCCGTAGCAGACGCGTGCATGCAATCGCGCGCAATTACGCGAGCAGCTCCACACTCGCCACGCAAAACACACCCATCAGTGCAGCCGTCAGTGCAGCCGTCAGCAGCCGTCACCAGCCGTCCATCAGAAGGCAGTACGCGCGAGCGCGTTGTTAATTGTATACGCACGAACGCCATGCCATGCACGCACGCACGCACGCCACGCCATGCACGCACACACGCGCGCCCCGCACGCACACACGTCAGACTCGCAACTAGACACCCGCAAGCACGCTCGTACGCACGCACGCACGCACGCACGCACGCACGCACGCAATCACGCACGTCAGGCACGCACGCACGCACGCACGCACGCACGCACGCAATCACGCACGTCAGGCACGCACGCACGCACGCAATCACGCACGTCAGGCACGCACGCACGCACGCACGCACGCCACGCACGCACGCACGCACGCATGCCTGTCAGCTGTATCTTCGTGAGCGCGCACGTACGCACGCACGCAAGCACGCACGCACGCAAGCACGCCACGCACGCACGCGCGCATGCCTGTCAACTGTATCCTCGTGAGCGCGCACGTACCTGGGATTCGACAGCGCGGGGCTCAATAACGCAGACGAACACCTGTAGTTTGCAGACGACGGCGGAAGAATGCTGGCGGAGAGATGCTGGCAGTGGTATGCAGGCAGACTGGCAGAGGGATGCTGGCCGAGGGATGCTGGCAGACTTGCAGAGGGATGCTGGGATGCTGGCAGTGGAGATGCTGGCATGCTGGCAGTGGGATGCTGGCAGTGGGCATGCTGGTAGTGACATGCTGGCAGTGCAATGCTGGCAGTAGGATGCAGGCAATGGCATGCTGGCAGTGGGGATGCTGGCAGTGGCATGCTGGCAGTGGAAATGCTGGGATGCTGGCAGCGGGATGCTGGTAGCGGGATGCTGGCAACAGGATGCAGGCATTGGGATGCTGGCACTGGGATGCTGGGATTGGGATGCTGGGATGCTGGCAGTAAGATGATGGCAGTGGAATGCAGGCAGTGGAATGCAGGCAGTGGCATGCTGGCAGTGGAATGGTGATAGTGGGACACCAACTCAATACCAACCAGCAATAGACTCAAGCTTAGCTTAGTCTCAAGCCATAGCTTAGACTCAAGTCATATCAAGGATATCAAGACACAACTGTAACTTTCATCATTAGATCACTTGGCACCGTGATGGACCGTGTCAATCAAGCACGCAGTCGACTGATTATCGTAACGATAAGGCTGCTAATTACAGAATTATGATTTTGCGTCAAACCGTTGAATAGTTTCAGATTAACGCCCCACAAGTGTCCCGCGGTGCAGCTGATCGGGCAGCCGTTAATAACGTCGCTTTATAATTACACATGGACGAGATTAAAACATAGTGCCGTACGTAGCAGGAAACACGCACGCACGCACGCACGCACGACACGCACACCCGCACACACACACACACAGTCAGGCAGGCAGGCAGGCACGCACGCACACGCATGCACGTACGCACGCTCGCACGTGCAGACACGCACGTACGTACACGCGCACACACGCACGCACGCAGTCACGCACGCAGGCACGCAAACGCACGCACGCGTACACACACGTGCGCGTAGCAGGAAACACGCAGGCACGCACACGCTGTACGCTCGCACGCACGCACGCCACACGCTCGCCCGCAGTCACGTACGCACGCGCGCACGACACGCACGCACGCACGCAGGCACGACACGCACACACGCAGGCAGGCAGGAACGCACGCAGGCACGCACACGATGTACGCTCGCACGTAGGCACACCGCACGCTCGCACGCAGGCACGCACGCACACGGACGCACACGCACGCACACGCACGCACACGCACACAGAGTGAAAGGCTATAGTTCTAGAGTAGCGCACAGCCGTGACAAACAACTACACGTCGCATAGTACAGCTAACGACGGGTCATGCTACAGCAACGACTATATATGCTAATGATAAGAGAGAACAGCACCGGCCCGACCCCCCGGGGGAGGGCAGCGTTACCAGCCGTAGTTCTAGTCTGCTCCAAGATACGGCAGACGAGAGTCATACTGATAACTGCCGATGCTGTTATTAATACTACTGCTCTCTTTCCTGGGCGCGCGCTCTCTCTCTCTCTCTCTCTCTCTCTCTCTCTCTCTCTTTCTTTCTTTCTTTCTC